TGCAAAAGAGAGAAAAATAAATAGTCTTGACACCATTGTTAATCGTAAGTATATGACGAATGAAATGAAATATCTTTATAATATAGTTGATTGAATGAGCTGAATTTATATCGACAGACACCAGCTGGCAATCTGTACTTTTAGAACATATTTAATAATGCGGAAATAGCTGTATCATCGTTAAGATGATAATTATGCCACGTATTTACTATATATACAGATAGAACGATGTCAACGAGGATAGTTCTTAAGAGAAAAAAAAGGCAACGCACTGTTTCATCATCCTTATTGTTATTCAAGATTATGGTGCTGTATACTTTTCTCCGTTACTCGATGAAATAATGATGCAATAAAAGCAAATACGTTTATTCATTCAGCTTGATATCCTATGTCAATGCTTTCAAAATAAAACAAAACTATAATCAATGAATAAATGAAAGTTATTATATATATCCAATAACTATCTGTTAAATTCAAGATCATAGTAATTTATTATTTTCTTAGGAAACAAAACTGCCTCATATTGAATGTATAATATAATTGAAGAAGGGAAGAAAATGGTATTTAATTTACATTGTACTCAAACATTGTCAATTGATCTATTGACTTGGATCATTAGATCAAAACAGTATCTTATTGATGATTATATAAATTTTTTATTTCCGTCTATTTTATGATTTTGAAATTTAAGAAAACTAATGTTAATCGTCATTAAGTAAAGTTTAGTTAAATTGATTCATTGAGAAAAATTAAATGGATATGTTTTATCTCATCATTTTTCTGCTATCATTTTCTTTTATTTTTAATTAGATTTTTTCCTACATTTTTCTTTTGTAATCATTTAATTACGTAGATATCTGCCTCTTTTATTTTTGTCATACTTCTTCTTTTTCTTTTGAATGTCTTCGCAATAGTATTATTATTATTATTATCATATAATCAAGTTGCAACCTAATTATCAAGACAAATTACTTTTTTCTTCTTCAATGCTCTTCTTTGTGATAGATGATTTTTTTTTCTATATAATACCTAAAGTTTTTGAAACTCATCACAATACTCCGTTCTACAGTCGAATGATATTGATCATTTCATCTAACCGAAGTATTATACTGAAAAAAGTGTATAGATAGATACTATTACATAATACATTATCAACATAAGTTAAATGTAAAAACACAGCGAAAAAAAAAGCATAATTGTGAGTCTACCAATAATAATCTTATATGACAAAGGCGTATTATTAACATAGACATTGCGTATTTATTTATTGGCATTATGACATTAGATTAAACTATCTCTTCTGTCGACACTTTCCAGTATCGACACGTCTAGCATGCATATGAATACAAATACGTACTAAATATTTATTTATATCCTCATTCTAACAGTAATACACTGCCAAAGTATAAAACTGCATCATAATTCAGAAATAGAATTTATAGAAACATTTCTGAAAGTTATTTTTAGATGTAAAAGAACTAGATAAACTTCCGACTCATAACTAAAAATAAACTTTTATAATATATAAGGTTACTTTTTGCATTCATTATACTTTGGATGAATAAATAATAAATTCAAGGATTACTGCTGATGATTCTTTTTCAATAAATTAATAATTATATATCAGAATAGAATATTCTCTATTAGATCATTGTATTTTCATATAATTATTGTGTCATATATGTTTATGATTTTCAACATTAAGTTTTATGGATCTTCATCCTTACATTAATATATTTTTGTTTTGCTATCATTTTAAACTATAATCATATCAGTATATACATATATATATATAGTTGCTAGGACAATTCGTCGCATTGATTTAATCCAATAATAAGTGTTAAAAATATTTCAAATGATTAAACTTCGATTTTTTGATCGTGAGCAGTACAAAGTCTTCTTATACAAGCAGAAATAGTATTGTATCTTTCGTTAAATTTGTGTCGCAGCTAAAGATTTCTAATACGTGCGAAAATACTTTGAGAAGATAAGTGAAATCTAGTGTTCGCTGACGAAAAGTAGCTATTTAGTGCCGCCATCGCTTGGCATTCGCTCTTTCTTTCTATCATTGTTGTGACATCATCATATATATTTCAACTATATTTTCTTTCGTTCAGATACCACGCGTGAATGCAAATATGTTCTCGTTTTGTCAGTATGTTCACGTAGATTCGTTTTTCTTTTTGTATAGATCATGTATGTTCTCTTCAGTGAGTTTTTGACTCTCTTCTACCTTCTAGTTAATTCTTTTTGTTTCCGAACTCTGATATATATATATATATCAATATCCGTTGCTTGCAACAATGAACATACTGTACATACGCAATAAGATAAAACTTCTCTTTGACTAACAATTGGTTAGTAGTCGACTATCTTCACACAGCTTTGACGGATTTAGAATAAAAAAAAAAAACTTTTAATGAATTCTTTTCTTTCAATAACCGTATTTGATGCGCAAATTCTGTTAGTTCAAAGACTATCAACTATTATTTTAACTATTTATAATTAAACTACTCAGATTCCATCGATGATTTACACAGTATTCAGACCTCTTTTGATGATGCCTAGCATCTGAGGATTTTCTTTTTATTACCTCGATATTAACCATTAAGTACAAAATAGATCCGACTTTATGGTTATGTTAGGAATAATTATGAGAAAAAGGATTGGTTCGTGTTGTTTTGAAACTAAATCGAATCGATCCCATCACTGTCGGATTAAAATGTGAAATACGATGTAGTTGCTGTTGCCAATGCACAGAAAGATTGTTTTATTCTATTTATTTTGAAACACATTTCTTCACCATTGTTTTACTTAATCCTCCGGAAAAGTAATAAGAAAGTAGTTCATTTATTATAACAAGACGTTATTGACATACGGTCTTTGATCAATTATCAACAATATCTCTCATGTAATCTTTAGAAATAGCTGCAACATTTTTTTTTTATCGTCGTTGAATTACATGTTTCAAAGTTAATTTAATAAGTCGCTTCAACAATTAAAAACTAAATGTAAAGTATTATTGAATTATCTTATTGTAATTAATGGACCGGTCACCATTTACTTAGATCTGACCAAAAGTTCTGATAATGTTGCGAACAATTTTATAAACCACTTAACATTAAAGAGTTTGTTATATGAATAAAATAGTATAATGTCATGCCTACCATCATATATAATCAAACTTTTTTTAGGCTTATTTCTGAAATTCTTTCAGATATGATTCAATTCCTATACTAAAAATTGAAAAACAGATAATACATTTAATCGATACTATAGTAAATTTCGGACTATCTTGAGAATAGATACGAAAACAATTTATGAAGAACTTACAACAGCATTGAAACTTAACACTCCATCATATCCAACACTTGCAAGATGAACAAAACTTTTTGATGAACGAAGAGAAGATGTCAATGATAATCTTCCTTTTAGTCGTCTAATTTTCGACCTTACAGATATAAATATTGAACTGGTACGACAGTTTATCAACAATAATTCACATTCAACTTATGGTGATATTATAGCTGAGATCTCTTTCTGTCTCTCATGGTACAATAGAACGAATTATCCATAATTATCTAAAGATGAGAAAAGTTACATCAGTTGGATGTCTCATTAACTCAATGATGAACAAAAGTAAGAACGAGTTAGAATCTGGCGAAATGTTGTGATGAATCATGACAATCATGCAATATTATAACAGATGAGAAGGCATGGATTTATCATAGATAGGTTAGGCACAAGTCAACTAACGCAAGCTGAATCAATCAATATGAATCATCAACGATTATTGCTCGCCGATATAGATTTGATGTAAAAACTTTGTTTTCTATATTATTTAAACCAAATAATCCTATTCTTACATATAGTATAGATAAAAGCAAGACTATAGAGCACAACTATTATATTGAAAATTGCCACAAACATGTTGTCAATAAAATATGGAAATAAAGAAAGTCAGTAGATGCAAAACATATAAAATTATTTCATGATCTCATACTCATCGGGGTGTGTCATGAATTATTTGACATAATAAGGTATCAATATAATGCAACATCTGCCCGTTTACATCAGATCTTGCATCATATGATGTTTGGTTAAATGACTATATCAAGCGTATTTAACTGATCAAATAAATGAAAAATCATTGACTCATACTATCTTCAGGAGAGTTAAAAATATTCCAGAAAAAAGTTTTAAAAAATGTTTGGCAAATTATTAGAAAAGATGACACTCTCTATAAATAATTATGATGACTATTTTTAATATTTTTAATAAAATAAAATAAAAAATATCGTTCTATTTTTATATATTTATTTAATGTTAACAAAACTTTTGGTTAACCATCAGTATAATTATATAGTCTATTTTAAGTAATATGTGAATAAAATTATGAAACTCACAATAGAAATTCTATTGTTCACACTCAATCAAAATTCTATTAAAATTAGTAAATAAACTTTCTTACTACGTGATAAAGAGACTATTCAATATACAGTTGATGACATTACATTCGTTTCTTTTATACATTAGTATTTTTTTTAATAATCATCTTTCTTTATTGAAGCTAGAAGATTCGTTCATAAATGTTTTATGAGAAATCTATTCTTCTAAACATTTTATATCATATAAAAGTAACTAGTCATGTTGAAAGAAAGCATAGATTTCTATTATAAAAAATCGACGTCAGTTGGAACGTCGCCTTAACAAGTGATGAGCAATCCCTTTTTTTTCCTTCTAGTAAATCTTGCAGCGGACATAATATAAACATCAAATTTCTTTCATGCTTTATTTTTCCACGAGAAAAAAAAAATGAGTCTAATTATAAGATCTATATGAAACTGACACATTCTAGAGTATGAGAAAAGAATACGCAGAACAACTTGGATGGCATCTCCACATGTAAAAGTAATCGTAAAATATAATCCTCTTAGAGAACTGAAAGCTATTATATTTGATTAGAACTGCTAGTGACGCTTTCATTCTCGCATAAAACTATGATATTCAATGGTCGATGTGGTAAAAAACGTCATAGATCAATTGTTTTTATATTATTTCCAACTATATTTCTTGTAACAAATGTATTATTCAATGTACCAAATAATTCACTTTTAAATCAAACTCAACTAATAAAACCATTCGATCAATCTCTATTATTTCCTATTAACGGTAGTATTAAATATTTAGGTAAAGCATGTCCAATTTATATTATTAATTTACCATCACGTTCTGATCGACGTACAGAATCTGTTGCTCTTATACAAACATTAGATTTACAAGCATTTATTGTTCCAGCTTATTCAATTCATTCACCTGAAATTTATATTCTTAATCAAAATCGTAATAAACTTTTTTTAAAATTAACTGAACTAGCTTGTTGGGCAAGTCATATGCGTATGTGGATAAGTATTGTTAATAATACATCTTCTCAAAATAATAATACGTGGTCAATTATATTTGAAGATGATATTGATCTTGAAATCGATACACCATATATAATGCAATCATTACCATATTCAATATGGAATGATGCTGATTTAATTTATCTTGGTCATTGTGCTAATCCACCTGGAAAACTTATTTATCAATCATCAAAATATATTTATCGTCTATATCAAGCTCTTCATCCAAGTTGTACACATGCATATGCAATACGATCAAATACAGCTGAAAAACTTATAAATTTATTATCAAAACCTTCACGACCAATTGATGATTTAATAATAAAACTTGTTGATAATCAACAATTAATTGCTTATAGTATTCATCCTCCATTAGCAATACAAAAATTAGTTTCTAAAACAAATCCATCAGATGTTAATCAAATAAATCGACAATCATTAATGTATCATATTCAATTAACAATTTATACATTTATACAATGGTGGAATGGTGTACAACCTTGTAAAGCATTAAATAAATCAACGTTAAAAAAAGCTAATTTAACTAAAGCAATATATTGGAGAAAAATGTATGAAAAAGGTATTTGGAAAAATTACACTTGAAACAATTTATCTATATTATCATTAAGATGTCGATGTATATATATCCTGCCTCTCTTATATAGATATTATGCCATGTGGAACATTAATATTAAAAACAAAAAAAAAAGAACGTGTCCATTTTTCTGTCAATGAGAAATGCGTCAGTCAATAGCTAATAACAACATTCAATAATTATTGTCGATTGTGATATAAAATTTAAGTTATTTTATACAGACTTAAATGAACTTTTAAAAATAACTTAATTATCTGTCAAGGTTATGACACATAATGCATGTAATAGAAAACTTTCCTAACTACGACATTTTTTCTTTGTATTAAAATAAAAAGGAATAGCATGTAAAACGTATCCTGTAAACAAAAGAGTTCACTATGATATATTAAAATTCTTCATAGCATGACTTCACAAAATAAATAGACACATGTTGGTAGGCTGATTCAAATCCTGTTTTTCTTTCTCTATAGACCTTGAATTTTGAGATAATCTTATACTTTTATAGTATAGATATTAATAAGCATATTTCTCTGTTAGAGAAAAAAAAAATTGTTATTCAATGTTATCTTTGTTATTTAACATTTTTTAAACCTACTTAGGGCATACCAAAAGTACTGGCAGTGACACTTTAATACCCTATAGTAGACTTTAAGAAACTTTCTTTCTATATAGTCTGATAGAGAAAAAAATGCTCTATCTTTCAATACTATTTGATCGTACTTCAGCTAATCTCATAATATTAAATTATCCATAAAACCTATTTCGGCTGATTATGTGCTGGTTGTACTAGATTACAACGTGTGAGAACAGACTAGTTTTCAATCCCTCAAGATATTGTATGAACAACCAAAATATACCATAAGATGCAGCGTGAAAAGCTCTACAATTTACATAAGGCCATTTATTTTATAGCTGCACTTTTTGCTTTCAAAATCGATAAAGTTTTGAGGGATCAAATTTTTGGTATTGAGAAAATTGGTCGCATAGAATTTTCCTTTTTTTGAAAACAATTACAATAAGCTTTACTGTATAGATTGTAGAGCTTTTCACGCTGCATCTTGTGGTATATTTTGTTTTTCTTTTGGTAAAGCATATCAGGTGATAAACAATGAAATAACAAAAATGAATTCGTTGTGTATCGAAAACATTGTCTTTTTCGCATCTTCACGATTTGATTGCTCCAAATTTTGTCGATTTCGAAAACAAAAATTGCAGCTATAAAATAAGTGGTCGTATGCAAATTGTAGAGCTTTTCACACTGCATCTTATAGTATATTTTAGTTATTAATACAACTAGTAAGAAATCGAAAACCGCAATGCAAAACTTACAACCAGCCGAAATTGGTTTTATAGATAATTTAATACTATGAGATTAGTTGAAGTACGATCAAATAGTATAGAAAGATAGAGCATTTTTTTCTCTATCAGACTATATAGAAAGAAAGTTTCTTAAAGCCTACTATAGGGTATTAAAGTGTCACTGCCAGTACTTTTGGTATGCCCTAAGTATTTTATAAAGAAATTTAGTATCTCTTTCTATGTAGAATTTCCTCAAATATATTTTTATAATGTTAAAAACTGAAGATAATAATACTATTGAGAGTATTGCCTTAAAATGTTGAACATCATGTTATTGTATCATACTGTTATACTTTACTCAAAAAATATATGATAATCAATGATAATTCAAATCCACAAGGTTAGGAATTAATTAGTAACATTACTCGGAAACCTATTCAAAAGCTAGTACATTAGACAAGTTTTTACATCGTATATACTCTAAAAGTGTATCAATATGAATGAGTGATGGACGATGATGCACGTTTAATATTTGATCCAGATCATGATTAATGTGTATTTGAAAAACTATCAATACCTTTTTTCTAATACTAGGCCGTCTTTAAGGATATATTATTTATGGTAATACTTGTCAATCAAAAAAAAAAGGTATGAATAAGTTCGAATTTATAGAAATGTCTATGAAAAGGTGTGTTGTAGACAAGCTGAAAGAAAAAATATTGAAAGACGAATGGCTAAGATAAATTTTAATTAAAGTCAAAGCGAGATTTTGAAGAGATTTTATCGTAATTTTTATTGCGTGTATAAAGTGAGTGAATATGGTTGTGTTCGTGAAGAGAAGTTGATGACCAATATTCATATTTCAGATCCGTGTTTTTTTTTAAATGTCATTTTCTGTATTTTTTATTTTTGTATATAAATACTTTGCATCTCAATTGGTTTGTCTTCATTCGATGTTTAATTCCGTGTTATAATGACAATAAAATGGTGTGTTCAAAATTTAAAAGAAAAAAAAGCTCATGACATTCATTATAACAATTATGTCTGACGAGTTCTATAAACTGTAGTTGATTAAGAAGAAAATGAGAAGAGTAGTAAGTTAAGCATGCTCTACAAATTACAGCTCATATAAATAGAAATATTGAAACTCAATATTTAGCGAACTCTATAAACTGCAGCTCATTAAAAGTCAAACTGAAAGTATAAGTTTTATTAAAATTGTTATGAGTAAATTTTTTACGAATTTAAACAATGAAAATTTGAGACTTAAGATTGTGTTCTATTTGAGTAATTTAAATCGAAAAAAACCAAACGAAATTGAATTTAACAGTTTTTGAATTTCGAGTTTATGTCCGCATATGAGAAGACTCCAGCAGAGAGAGAGAGAGCATCAAAAAGAAAGTGGTTTATCCAGATAACGTTGACTTTAGGCGTTTGTAGTTTATTATTGCTTTTCCATTATTCTATTGGTAACTAGTACAGAATCAGTAATAAATAATACCTGATAGAGATTAACTGCCATAGTCGGAAAAATAACTACTATAAACAAAAAAAAAAGTCTATCATTATGATCACAGCCGCTTCGTCTTTACTCGATGTAGATCAGCCATTATCGCCAGTTATTTCATTTATTAATTCACAAAAAAGCAGATCTTTTCTCGTTTCAGATGATCATATTTTCAAATTGAAACAGCTACGAAATATTGAAAATATAATTACACTTAATGACTATTCAGTAAAAATTCATTCAAATTTGAATAATCAATTGATTAAAATGATTGATAATTACAGTCACCCGACAGATGACGAAAACATTGAAGTACATGATAAGACTTTCTACAGTACTTTTTCACCTTTTTATAGCCAACTTATGGAAATATCTAAGTCTGGCAAATAGTGCTAATTATGAAATCGAAAAAATATAATACAAATCAGTAGCATATGATTGTCTTGAATTTGTAAACTTCTAAAAATGTAAATGTGATTCTTGTAAACTTAAAGTAAAAGAGGTCTACTTGCACCTAATAATTATGCTTATGTGAAATGTTTGACTATATGATAAAAATAATGTCTATTTTAAATGTCAAAATGTAATGAACATATTATCCGGAACAAACAAATGATCCATCAAAAAGTTTTCAAGGTACAATTTATTGTTCTGATCAATTTGAAACATCAAATCATCCTCGAACAATGTTTGTTCAAATTTATTTTATTCAAAAAAATTTAAATGTTTGCAATGAGTAAGAGCCCGTCCAGTAGTGGCAACAGTAATTATATTTGTACTCTTTCCAGCAAATGGATACCAATGTCTTGCTTTCTATTGTTAATGATTTCATTTGCTAGCTTACTTAAATAAAAACATGCCTAAGGACTAGTAGCGCCGGTGACGTGAAAATATCACTCCATGAAATACTCTGTTACCTACTGGAGTTTGTTCTGACCGCTTCCAACTGAATTTATATTATTGATGACTAGTTGTGAGTAAAATTTTCGGTCGAACTATTGAAATCGAATTTTTTCCATCGACTCAGTAGTTTATCTTCAAAGTTGCGGTTTGATCAATGATTGATGGAAAAAACTGATATTTCTGTAATGGAATGAAGCAATTTGTAATAATAGAATGTAAATGATTAATAGTTTTCTGCCATAGCTCATCGATCAATGCCATTGGCAGCTGTCCTTAATGAATTGATGCTGGCGTAAGCTTGATAGTCTTTATATGAAAAAGAATGTCGAAATTCAAGATGTCGCTGATAAACTTCTAATAGTTGTAATATTCCTCTATTTTCAGTTATGTGTACTCTACTTTTAGCATGTCTAGCAATCTTTGTCATCATTTCCGGAAATGAAAATACATTTACGGGTTGTTTGCTAAACATTCTTCTCCCACAATAGATCAGTCTAATTTCTTACAACATTTGTCTCTGACACGACCCATGTAAACAGCAAACGCAGAATATACGCGTTCATACTCTAAAACATATTAATTAGATATCTAGTGAACGTGGTAAGACATTTTTCTATTTCTCGAGATGCATGAATACAAAAAAAATGTTTTGCCGAAGACCATTAAAACTGAAAATTTTTCGAACGTATTTGAAAATTTTTTTTCAATGAACGGATGAATATGTGCTTGGGTGGGTGTGGGTGTGAGGGTCAGTAGGAGATCTATTCCCACACCCACACCCACACTCAAGATTTCCGTTTCTCAACGACTTGACTGTAAGAAATTGGGAGCCACAAATCAAAAGCTAAACAATAATGGTCGCCATATTCCAATTATCGAATATCCTCATCTTACTCTACTACGTCTTATCAACGTTCATGATGATTATGTTGAATAATTTTTACTTGATATCAAAACTCATTTATAAAACTTTATCTGCTTGATAATCAATTATGACTCACTGCAGAGAGTTATTCACAATTTCACAATAGATGTGATACAAGTCAATTGTGCTAAAGTCACAAGTTTCTATATCCAGAAACAATTGGATTTTTCAAAACAATTTAATGGTTACTTTCCTCATGCGAAATAATTATTATTGTTCTTTAAATAATTCAATAAACTAAATAATTAAGGAGATACATGGTTTTTCGAATACTTTGTTACAGGTAACAAAATAGGATTAAAAGGAAACAACAATTTATATATTAGTGAAACGTAACCAATTTATTTATTTCAAAATGATTTGATATGTCAAAGAAAAATAATACATGTATAAACGTATAGAAAAATTGTCGTAGAAAACAAATTTGATGAACTCATAGCTAGAAATCTAGTTTTAAAATATCCTGTATATGTTTATATAATATCAGACTACGTAGAAAATTGATAACTCTTAAAGTACTCAGGTTAATTAACGATTATTCATTTCAACAATTGAAGAATATAGATTTAATTTCTCTATGAATACTTATGTAAATCATTTATTCGTTCTCTCAAAGAGACAATTCGATGATGATCGAAGCGGAATTGTGAGACATTCTTCTTTTGTATATATTCTATTACATAAAAATAAAGACTCATTATAAATATTGATCTGTTTTTAGCAGATACTTTTGTGACATACACAATTGGAATGAGTGTTGTAATATAAGCACTATAAGGATATAAAAGAAACGCGTGGAACGTTAACTTAAGAAAGTCAAGATCCGTTTGTTCTTTCAAATTGAAAGCATCTAACTGTACAACTAACACAAAATATCATATTTTAATTCGAATGAAATAAAACTATTTAGAAGAAATAATACAGTAAGTATATATGAAAGATATTTATTTAGTAAATGTATTGAATTCTGCTCAGAACAGAAAACTGAACTCGAATTTGTTCAAATACTTATCAGCTGAACATGACATCATTTTTTTTTGTGTGTGGATGTGAGTGTAGATAAGAGTTGAATAGAACGCACATCCACTTACACCCTCATCTAGATCGCCTATGCGCAGTTGTTATATATTGATAGAACAATTAAACCTATAATTGCATATTAGCTATAACTAGTTAAAGAGAAGTTTAAAGGGAACAAATGTGAATGGATGAATTCGGAAATTAGATGTTTTCCAAGGTTTTCAAGGGGAAGGTTCTATTGGGATGAGTATAGTCTCAGTCGGGGCATTCTCATAAACAGTACTGTGTCAGCCAACATGTGTCTAGGATATATCATTTGGAAAAGAAGCTAAAGATACTTCTATCAAATAATGACCGTTATTTCAATCAATAGTTGCTATGAAGTCATGTTTTGATTAGCTACACTGACAATGTTGACATAGAAAACATGACCCCTTACAATGTATCTTCAGATAAAAAAAACAATAGAAAAATGACGTCACATTTTTCCATAAATCTGTAGTTTCTTAACAAGCAATAATAAAGAAAAAAAGCTCTTGGTTGGTCTTCTAAAATATAATTCACTTAACAGAATACAAATAGCAATCGATATTTATGAGTATTCATAATATCAGATATTCTGAACAACAATGAAAGAAAAAACGAAGCTCATTCGTTCTTTCATTTCATTCGTTCAATTATTTGTTTATTGTTGATTTAGACTATAAAAAAAATGTATATCATTAATCTCATTGGCAGTTGGTCATTGACGAGATCGGTCAAACAATTGAAATGAGCACATATATCTAAAAGACAGAAACATACATCGAAGTGTAGAAACAAATGGAACACTTATCGATTAAATTAGATGATTTACCGGACGAAATTCTTTTGATTATTTTCAAAAAATTAGACAACTTTGCAATACTTTATTCTTTAACAGGTGTCAACAAACGGTTACATAAAATTGCACATGATCCAGATTTTACAAGTCATTTAACTTTATTCAAACACTTAAAGTACGCTTCCGTCTCTGCATTACCAGATTCAACACTTTCTCGGTTTTGCTTACAAATTGTACCTGAAATTCATCATAAAATTAAATGGCTTAATGTGGAACCAGCATCTATGGAACATATCTTTCTAGCTAAAAATTATCCTAATTTATATGGCCTTGGTGTATATGGTATTGATGTATCAAGTGCTATATCTCTCTTTACTGGTGAGTCAGTCTACTTCAATTATTTTAATTCTAAATAAATGAGAAAAAAATTTTAAAAAAATGAACAAAACTCGTTCTATTATATTAATAATATAGTTAAGTAGATCAGATCACTGAGTACTCTAGGTATACATTTGTATGTTGCATTATTAGTTTTATATAAATTGAAAAAAATGCGTAGTATAATTTAAACAATATTAAAAATGATTTGTTTGTTTCTCAAGACTTTTATTTTTATTTAGACGATACTGCATTTACTCATGTACCCAAAAATCAAATATCATCGCTTGTTATCGATACTAGTAAAAATAAAAAAAGAATTTTCACAGAAGATATCAATACAATTGTGCTTACACATGTCTTTACTATGTTCAGTAATTTGAAATATTTACATTTCAATTCCACATCACCCTCTTATCAACTATTATCCTTTGCTATCTTACCTCCAATTGTTACTTCTTCAAACTTATTAGAATTACATGTTTCTCTAGAATATTTGTCTGACTGTCTTTATTTTCTTGATGGACGTTTCAACGCACTTCGTGTCTTTCATGTTAACGTTTTGAGTGGTGACAAAGATCCACCACAGATCATTAATAGGGTAGATTATTTTCATTAATATTTAATTTCAACGAATTCATTATATTGCTTTTCTAGGAAAATTTACCTAATTTAAGATATTTTTCACTGTACTGTACCTTCGAGACCGTTGTTTATGATGAATTAATTATACCACTTCTGTGTCGAATGCTGAATTTAGAACAACTCGATTTGGATATTGTAGTTGAATCAAAGACAACATTTATTGATGGGAATGATTTAAAAGAAAATATTATCAATCATATGTCACGATTAAATACGTTTACATTTAGTATTCGCTCATTGGTTGATCTGCGTAATCAAACTGAATTAAGATCAAATGAAGATATTCAACATACATTCAAAAATTTTAAATATAATCAAATTATTTCTTATGTTGATCATTTTCAAGAAAAACAATATAGTCAATGTCATATATATTCATATCCAAATAAACGGAAATATTGGAATAATATTACAAATAATTTTCCTGGTGGATTATATAAATATGTTCGTGAAGTATCATTATATGATGAACGTCCATTTGAACATGAATATTTTCTTCGCATTGGAGAAGCATTTCCATTTATGGAAGAGTTAACTATAAATAATAAGAAACCACAGATGAACAAATTACATAGAGAATCAAAGAGCGGCAATGAAGATTTCTCAATTATTAAATATCCGCATCTTACCCGAGTGAAGTTTTTGGCAGTTCATGATGATTATGTCGAACAATTTCTAGTTGATACGACAATGTGTTTGCCGAATAATGTTTTTCTTGCTGTGTGCGGTCAAGCATTGGAAAGGGTTACGGAAAATTTCACAAGAAATACAACCCGAATCAACTGTGCAAAACTGCGTCTTGTATATCTAGTTGGTAAATATGAAATTACTCAACAATTAAAAGACTATTTTCCTCATACCAATGTTGTACGCCGATTAGTGTAAATGCTTATGATGCTAGCGTCAATAGATGTCACATTATGACGCTAACCTATGTCCAGTGAATTACACATGTATACAGAGCGTCTCATAAATAACACCTCGATAAGTAATTTAAATATCTCCGTTCTGGTTCAATTCAAATGGGCTAATTTTTCGGTTATTGGTAGAACTTTACTCAGAATTTTTTTGATACGGATCATGCAAGTAAATACTACAATTAGTTATTATGGTTGGTCTCATGAAAGAAATTTGGCCTGTTCTCA